CCTTTGTCTCATTTCTGTACCTCGCTGTGCCTGTGTCACCCGACTAATTAACGCCTCACGCCAGGGCTTGTGATCAAGAAGACCCTTAGAGTGACTCATCAGTCAAAACCACTGGTGTATCTTTTATCCTGATCTCTATCACTATCATTCAGCGGTTTCTCTCTTCCCAGAGGTTATCAAGACACCGACCTGAGGAAAGGAGAGTGGACCCACTGCTTTCTCTTTAAAGCAGAACAAAGTACAAACTAGAAGTGTTCTTATTGTCCCAAATGAGGTTTTTGGGAACATCTCACTTGGGTAAAGATAACATCCCATTTGTTTACCAGACATTTACCCGTATAATATTTAATGCCTAAATAGATGGCACATCAATATGCAATTTGCATTGTGAGTTATCAAGACAAAGATAATATTCTAATTTTGTACTGAGTCAAGTAAAAGAATGTTTCATGCTCTGGCCAATACATCTAAAACTATTTGAATTTAAGATCAGTAATGGAGGAATTCCCTTTTTGGAGCATCTACAATTTGTAGTCATCCTAGATTTGTGTTTTTACTTTGGTATTTTCTTGTTCTTATTTCTGCATTGGGCCATTTGAAGCTCAGGGTGGGATTTCCATTTTGCTTTGTAATTTTGCTTTTTTTTGTGTGTTTATGAAAATAACATGTTCTACTTTATAACGGCCATTAATATTTCTTTCTGTTTCATTTTATAGAGCTCGCTGCCTGTTCTCGAAATACATGTAGCAACATTTAGAAAAAAGGCCATAACCTGTCTGTTGTTTAGCATTAACTCTCTCAGTATAAAATGTACTTGGTTTCCTTTGTCCATTACCACATAACCTGTTCTGATCCCATCTAAGTTCCGTGGTTCCCTTCTCTTTGGGTCACTGCACCTTTACAAATTGTAAACTTCCAACCTTGGTAGCCTTTCACTTCATCTTTTGTTAATCTAATGTATTTCGGTTCAATCTAGGTGCCTCTTTCATCTGCGTCTGTTCTGATCTGACTGGTCTCTTTGTCCTTCCCACAAACAAGCACCCGTGCAGCACCGCCGTGCTTCACTATTAGAATTGTTTCAAGCAAGCAATAAGTGCTGACTTCAATTAGCATCACATAGTGCTTCGAGATCAGGACAACGATTTAAAATGTCATGATACAAAGTCAAAGAATATTTTGCAATGTTCTCTCATTATCCTTTAACTTCTGATTGATGGACACTTGCATGGAAGTGCAATTAAGTTAAGCGGCGCGTACAAGTTTAACTCTTTAGCTTTTTGTGGCATTTTGTCTCTACTGCAAAACTATAACTCTAACTGATCATTTGTTCATACCCTTATATATGAGTCCTTTATAATTTCTGCCAAGAATTGGCCCTAAAATCAACTTAAGTAAATATCATCACTCACACATAACCTCAAAGTTCACATAAGGAATGAGGAGATGCTTGGATTGTTTGGTTTAAGCATCCCTTTTGACTTCTAAAAAAAGAAAGGAAAAATTATATTTAACAATGTGTAAGAGGTTCAATGAAAAAATTTAGAGCAAAGTAATTGCTACACTAATAAAAGATGCATTACATTGCAGGGAATGTAGGGCCTGGTTTACGTAATCTACAGTTTGATGTAGTGACATATAGTGAGTAGTGGAATCTCTTAGTCTGAATTCCAAACTTTAACCTCGCTCCAGAGGTAAGGTGGCAATAGAAAATGGAACAGGCCCATTTAAGAATGACTGACAGGCTGGATCTGTTTGAGCTATTAAGTACACTGATGAAGTACCAGTGGGTTAGAAGGGGGACTGTACACATTTTACTGTTGAAATCTGGAAAAGCTTATCATACCGAAACTTTAAATCACCATCAAAATGCTTAAGGGGGGGGGGGGCAATCTATCCATTTTCACTTTCTTTGTCCAGCTGGAACCTATCCCAGATGCCACTGGGCAGGAGGGGTTGCCAGTCCATCAAAGGGACAAACGGAAACAAACAGAGAAGCATCTCTGTGC